CCTGATGAAAGCTTAATGATATATAAAAGAGAGTGAAATTTCAACACAGTTGTTTTTGCGACTGTGAAGCAAATAAGTGGTGATGCTGTGATATGCCGTGATGTAAGCTTTTATGCTTCTGTCACCTGCCCTGCCCATGTAGGTATTTGGACTTCTGACTCTTGATCTAAACCAACTTATCATTGTATAGATAAAGAAACTGAAGCTAGAGTAGTTAAGGGATTGACTAGAGACAGAGGAGAGACTGTGACCTGGGTCTCCTGATGCCAGTCTCTGCTTTCTATCATTCAACATAATTGCAAATGACTACCAGTGTGACTTCATGGTGACACTCAAAGTGAATACATGTCCTCATGTGAATTGAAGTCCAGCCTTCTTGGCTTCTTATGAGACAATAGAGAGAGGCATTGAAATTCGCTGAGCACTAACTTTCCAGTTAGGAAACATGAAACTTAGTGCTAAAATTACAATTGTCCAAGGTATTTTCAAGATGGAATAAAATGTTTGATCTGTTGGTTTCCGCATCAGCAGAACATTATAAATGAAGTGCACACTTATCCGAGGTCTTTATTGCCAAAATGTAAATGTTAGCCAGGCTCGGTGGCTCAGCCTATAATCCCACACTTTGGAAGGCTGAGGTGAGTGGATTGCCTGAGCCCAAGGGTTTGAGACCCGCCTTGGCAACTTGGTGAGACCTCATCTCTACAATAAATCAGAATTAGCCGAACATGGTAGCTCATGCCTGTAGTTCCAGGTACTTGGAAGGCTGAGGCGGAAGGATCGCTGGAGCCCAGCAAGTCGAGGCTGCGGTGGCCGGGAGCGGACACTACACTCCAGTCTGGACAACAGAGTGAGACTCCAACTCAAAAAAAAGTGTGCCTATATTGTTCATGACAGCAATAAAGATGAGAATATTTTAAAATAGAGGTGATGATGAAATAGAATCCTCAAGTTCTCCCACCTTTGCTTTCAACACAGACATAGTACAACAGAGGTGCACTTTTCTATCTCCTTGTGAATTTTAGGCATTTTGTTAAACTTGGCTTTGTGTCTTGGACTGGGATTTCCTTCCTCACACTCAGCTTTAGGAGAATTGATCACTAACAATTACATGGATGGATAACATTGACAAATAGTAGTACTTAAAATGATAATGAACCATTCTCCAAAGTAAAAAATTGAAGCTTTTTCCTTTCAACCATGAAAGTTAAGTTTATATCTGAGTGCCTATTTTTGATGGGCAAGATCATGTAAACTAACAGGGGCCTGTTATCTTGTAGATTTATCTCAAGAAAGTTTGAAGCCAGATCTCTAATTAAGAAGAAATGACCAGAACAGGACCGCTTAATATTTAAAACACATTCAACATTTCATATTTTAAAGATTAGTTAATATTATCTCAAAATCAGATCTTTCAAACATTACAATATTTGAATTATATTTCAAGAATTAACTATCTTGTATATATTTTCCTGTTCCAAGTCATATCTCATTCATAATAAAGTACCCATCTTCTTTCAAATCTCTCACATTTTTCAGTGTTTGTGCATAACTGCCATACTACTTTGTGTTTTGCCTGAAAGCATATAAGAAAGTGATTAATAGCAATTTCTTTGGAGTCAGACAACCTAGGTGTTAATCCTGAATCTTTGACTTATGAGACACATAATCCTAGCTACTATTATTCTCTTTGTCATGTATTATTTACTTATCAACTATATAAAGATGGAAATATTAAAGCCTCAATGTGCTTGTGAGGACAAAATAATACCATATCTGCAGAGGGCCTAACACAGAGCCTGTCACATGCTACAGATCCAAGTAATGGCAGCTATAACATTCCTTCACTGCAGAAAATGAATATTAAAGTTAGAAATTCTTTAAGTGTATTATAGATTAGAAAAAAATGCTATATTTTTCCAGTGTAAAGAGCTACACACGAATCCATCAGCTGCTTAAATGTATTTAGCAAATTTTTTTCCACCCTCCCACCTCAGTCCCCAACTCCCTCCTCTCCTTCTCCCCTTTCTTTGCTCTCATCACCCCTGCTCTGCCCTGGAGGGTTCCTCTGCCTAGCCGTAGTTGTGGAGGGGACCTGCTGTTCACCACTTCAGGTCTGGGAAGAGATGGCTGCCCTTAAAGACAAGCACACAAGCCTGTAATCCTAGCATTTTGGGAGGCTGAGGCTAGAGGATTTCCCGAGCCCAGGGGTTCAAGACCAGCCTGGGCAGCTTGGTGAGACCTCATCACGACAATAAATCAAAAAATTAACTGGGTGTGGTGGCGCATTCCTGTGGTTCCAGCTACTTGGAAGGCTGAGGCAGAAGGATCACCTGAACCCAGCAGGTCAAGGCTGCGGTGACCGTGAGCGTGCCACTGCACCCCAGCCTGGGCAACAGAGTGAGACTCTAACTCAAAAAAAAAAAAAAAACCTCAAAAGCAAATTATTAATTAAAGCTGCAAGGTCTGGGGGAAGCAAGATAGGTGGACCAACACTAAAAAATGATTGTATTTATGCTTCTGTTTAGATGTCAGATACAATATGATCTTTGAAAATTAAAGAAAACCAAGCTGGGCTCGGTGGCTCAGCCTGTAATCCCACGCCTTTGGGAGGCTGAGGTGAGTGGATTGCCTGAGTCCGCAGGTTCAAGACCCGCCTGGGCAGCGAGACCTCATCTCTACAATAAAT